CCTGCTGCAGCCCGCCTCCAGACCACTGCCGTTGCCGCTCGCCGCTCGCCTCCAGACTTCTCCAGCGGCGTCGGGACCCGACCGCCGCGGCCGTGCGAGCTCCAGAATCCGCCGAAGGTTTCCTCATCGCGCCCGTTTCTCCAGCACTCCAGTGCTTTCGTCTCCCTGCCTGTCTCGCACCGGCACGGCCGTGAGTGCGAGAGAGACAGCGCGAGAGTCGTGGCGTTAAGCCCCGTGCGTGGCGTGCGTGGCGTGCGAGGCGCGCGTGCGCAGGACTGGGCCGGGGTGGTGCCGGCGCTACCGCCGCTGCAGCGTGATCGGCGCGGCGGCGGCAGTGTAGTGGCGTAGCGGCGCGGCGAACACCGCCACCGCCGCCGCGCAGCGCCAGGCCAGCGTGGTGGGGCCCTTGGAGGCCGCGACGCTACGCGACGCCCCGCCCCGCACCGCCCCGCACCGCCCGGCCTCGCCGGCGTGCCGCTAGGCCATCGCCAGGCCCAGGCAGTCAGTCAATGGCCAGCCCTCCGCGCCGAGCCCTGCGAGCCCGCGAGCCCTGCCGCGCCCTCGCACCACGAGGCCCTCGTGCTGGTCGGCTCCGTGGACCTCGTGGACCGGGCTGACGCCGCGCCATGCCCCGCCTGCCCCGCCGCGCCGTGGCCGCGCGGACGCCGTGAAGGGGCGGCCTGGAATGGTGTGCCAGAGCGTGCCCTGCGTGTCGTCGTCACCGTCGTCACCGTCGTCCTCCGAGACCGGCGTCGAGGCCATGGCCGGCACCATGACGGCCGCGCACTGGGACCCCAGCCACCGCCAGGGCCTGCAGCAGGGCCTGCAGCAAGGCCTGCAGGTGTCGTTCATGGCGACAGTCACCTCCATCGAGGAAGGTGAGGGTCTCGTCGTCCCGCTCGCCAACGTGGTCGTCGTCTTCCAGGGGCCGATCCGTCAGCCAAGTCGCGCGTCGCGCCTCTGGCAACGGATTGACTTTATTCTGCCGAGCCAGGCTGCTTTATTGACAGTAAAACCGTGTCGTGCGCTCGGCGGCGTGGCGCGGCGCGGCGCGGCGTTGTCACAACACTCTAGGTATCGATTCGGAAGGTGTCGCCCAAGTTTGTTGCCGTCCCCGTTCTGTTCTGCATGCCGTGTGCATGCCTGCGTGTGTGTGCGAGTGAGTCATGCAGGTATTATGAAAGTTAGACTCTGTCGACCTTGTCGCCGCGGTGGCGCACCGGGGCAAGGCACTGGCATCGCCGTCTCTCTCGCACCCAGGTGGAGCGTGCCGAGCGTGCCGTGAGTGCGAGGGAGACAGACGGTCGTCGTCCGGACAAACACGTGGAGCCTGGCGATGGAGGTCGCCCGTGCCGAGCGCTATTGGAAGCGAGAGAGAAAAGTGGAAAAATAAATGCGATTGAAAGCCCGCGCGAAAAGCTTTGCGAACGTGCCACTGCATATCTCGGTGTATCTCAGTAGGCTATCGTCCCGGCCCGGCCGTCCCGCCTGGCCGTCCGCGGCTCCGCGTGCGCTCCGCGGATCGGATCGGTCGCTCCAGCTTGCCGCTGCCGTCTGATTCCGAGCACTGCTTTCGTCGCTCCGTCTCTCTCGCACTCATGGGGCGGTCCGTAGGGGTGCGAGAGAGACAGAGCCAGTGTTCGGAACCGACGGCTGCTTGCCGCGCACGAGCGCTCTGCAGCAGCGAGCGACAGACTGATTCCGAAACAGTGCCTCGTCGCTCTGTCTCCCTCGCTCCCCCAGGGGGTGCTCCCCGAGTGCGAGAGAGACAGAGCGGCGTCGGAAAAGCCGCGTAACTTTGGACACCAACCCGCTGGCCGCCACCGGTGTCGATGGCGCCGAGGAGATAGACTGCGTTGCCTTTGTTGGCGTAGACACCGACTTGGTCTGGAACACGACGACGACAAGGCTCTGAAAGGGAACAACGCCAGGCCAGGGAGTGCTTTCTGACGTCGACGTCGACGTCGCCCCGGCGTCGCGACCGTCGCGATAGCCACGCAGATTTGCAAGTAAAAGCGTGCTGCGTGTCGAAAGCGTCGCGGCGCCCCGCGGCCACCGCCGCCACCGCCATCACGGAGCGGCTAAGCGAGCGGCAAGCGGATCACTGCACTTCTCTCGCCGACGTCCGCCTGCCTCCTTCGCCGCCATGGCGCGCACCGCGCACTACACCGGTAGCGAGGGTCGTTGCCGCTTCCCGCTTCCCGCACTACAGGAGGAGGAAGAGGCCGAGTGGACGGGCGAGCGGACGGAAGCGCAGGCGGACAGACAGGCCGGCGTCAGGCCGCCCGCCCAACAGGCGTGCGCGGCGGGACTGCAGGCGCGCGGCTCGCAGGCGCTGGCCCACTGCTTTCCGAGCCCGGCGCTCCGTCTCTCTCGCACTCGTGGGCCGTCCCGCAGCGGAGCGAGAAGAGAGAGAGAGAGAGAGGCAGCGACGCGTCCTGCTGATTAATAGACGCGGCCTGCCTCTGGCGGTTTGCCTATCTGTCCGCCAGTGTGCCGTGGACGTCGCCACGCGGTGATTCGGAGTGAGATGGATTATCGGGCGCCGTGAGTGAGGGACAGAGACGCGAAGACCGCGGGGGCGAACCAACGCACGAACGGAGGGACTGGCGGGCCGCGACAGCCGCGACTGGAGAATGAGGTTAGTCTGGCTCGCCGGTCCCCGATTCGTTGATTCAATATCGGCGGAGGGAGGGGCGGATACGTGTGTGTCCGAATCACATTACGCAGGTCCAGCCGCCAGCCGATCGATTTCTTCTTTAAGTCCGAATCGCGTCTGTCTGTCTGTCTGTCCGTCTGTCTGAGTCTGCGAGCGAGATTGCGTCCTGAACCGGCCCTACCTTTCCCAAGCTTCCCTCCCCACCTGCTCCACTTCTCACTGCGCCTCCCCTCCCCCCCCCCCCCTCCCCGCTCTATGTTTGGGTGGTGAGTCATCGCGGGGCACCCTCCCCCACCAGTGCGCCACCCCCACCTTGCGAAGGGGCCTAGCAGCCTGGCCTAGCCGCGGTGCGCGCCGGCCAGCCAGCCAGCAGCCAGCGAGAGGGCCGCGGGGCGGCGGCAGCGAACTCGGTGCCTCGGTGCGCTGTGCGCTGCTACACTGCCAGCGCGCGCGCGTCCACAGTCTTGTGGGGTCTCTGTCCGAGCAACGGTCGCTCTGTCTCTCTCGCACTCGCGGGGCGTGCCGCAGAGGTGCGAGAGGGATGGAGCGACGCGGGCTCTGCCGGTTCCCGGTTGGCTGGAAAGAGACAGAGGCACTGAAATTTGCGTCGGCTTTTATTGGTCATGTGCAGTCGCCGGCAATGTCATGCTGACAGTGTGGGAACGTGAGGCGTGCGCCCCTTTGATGGTGTCGTGACGGTGGCGCTGTGCCCCGTGTGCCCCAGCCTCGCCGCTCTGTCTCTGTCGCACTCACGCGGCGTGCCGCAGGGGGAGAAGTGAACCTTCGGAACGAGGCGCCAGATAAGCAGTGTGGTGCGCATCCATTGGGATCCATTGCCATTCACATCGGTCGAGCGACGCCGAGGCGGCAGAGGCAGCAGGCAGTCCGAGGCCGAGGCCGCGACGAGCCGAGATAGGCGGTTGGCATTATGTATCGACACGGCGTCCCAGAAACGCGCGTGCTCTATCGGGGCAGGGACCACCGCCCCCTCGATACCCCACTTTCCCTGTCCTTGTCGCACCCGCCGCACCCGCACCCGCAGCCACGCCCTCCTTCTCTCTCGCACTCATTGACAGTCCGCAAGGAGCGGCCAGGACGTCCCAATTTTTCGCTTCCCTTTTCTGTTGTTTTCCGGTGGCGGCGTGATTTTCCCGAGAACTCGTTGCCATTCTGCTACCGGTGTGCCCCCGGGGGTGCGGCTGACCGATGTCACGGCCTGCGCCCGGCCGCCTGGCACCTAGATGACCCCCTCGGAGACCACCTCATGGGAAATGCAGCACGGGCCGGCGTTTGTCCGGTGGCCTGGAAGGGCTCCTGGAAAGGCTCCTGCAAGGGCTCCTGCAGGGCCGAGGGGACCGCGAAACAAATGGCCTCGCCATGGCCAGCGCAAGGCCCGCAAGGCCCACACCACGGCCGGGCGAGATACATAAAAAGATTAGGAAATGGCGGACGCCTCTCGGCCTCTCCGCTCGCAGAGGTCGCCAAGGAGGTCGCGGCCCTCGTGTTCACGGATTCCGCCCGTCGTTGGCGCCTGCGTTTCATTTCTGTCTCGTTTCCGCCCGCGTTTTCGACCGTTTTCTCACCTTTCCGTGCGCGTCGGAGACGCGGAGCGCGGCCGAGCCACCCTGGTTGGGCTGCTTCCGCGTGGGGCGAGCGGCCGTGGCCGTCGCCGTGGCGGCCCGCTGTCGTGGGACCCACTCGGACCGGCTCGTCTTACCGCCGTCCGTCCCGTCACCGCGTTGTCACGTTGTCACTCCGTCAGCGCCCCTTCTGCCTTCGCGTGGCGTCGCACAAAGCGGTCGCCGTCATCGGAAACAGAATTGAGAATCGAGTTTCGGCCTTTCGGCGCGTCGTCGCGGGGCTGTCCTTCTCTCTCGCACCTCTGCGAGCCTGCGGGACGCCCCGCGAGTGCGAGAGAGACAGCCGCCGCTCGGAGGCAGCCCGCTGTTGGCGCCCACCCGCTTCTAATTGGCGCGAGCTTCGAACTCTATTTTTTCAAACGGCGCTTCCGTCTCACTTGCTCCACTTGCGTCCCCAGCTTGAGGATTGTTACGAGCAAATGGTGTGCTCGCTCGGTTCGCTCTGAGGGGTCTGATGGGGCTGCCGAAAAAATAATTATGTCACATTTTGTCACAGCTTGCAAACTTTTACTTCGTGTGTGTGTTCCTGTCCATCTGTCTATGCGCGCCTGTCTGTTTGTCTGTCTATCTGTCTGTCTGTCTGTCTGTCTGTCTGTTCGTCCGTCCGTCTGTCGCGCGTTGTTGACACGCCGCGCATCTGCGCCTACCTGTTGGATGAACGGTCCTAACACTTGTCTGTTTGTGTGTCTGTCCCGATTTAGCGCGCGTCGGCGGCCCCCCCGCCCCGCCCTCCGCCCCCGCCGCGTGTAGCGGTAGCGGCAGCCTCAGCAGCAGCACCCCTTGCGCCGTGGCCGGCAGCGCGCCCCCCGCCGCGGGGCCGGGCAAGGCGGGCAAGGCGTGGAGGCCCCCGCAGCCCCAGCCGCAGCCCCAGCCGCAGCCCGAGGCCAGCCAGGGCCGCCACACCGGCCCCACTGCGCTGGCGTGCACGCTGGCGTCCACCGCCAGGCCCAAGCCCGCCGTGCCCCCGGCCGTGCCCACGGACGCGAACGCGGCGAACGCGTCGTACCGGCCGCCGCGCGACCGCCTGCGCCTCGCCCTGTCGCGCAGCCTCAGCGAGCCGGGCCCCAGCATCCTCCCCGTCGTCCTGCCCTCGCCCGTCACCCCCACCTCGTCGCCGCCCAAGCGCTGCAAGCTGGAGTCCCCGGCACGCGGCGGCGCCGTGGCCGCGGACTGCGACGACGCCGAGGCGCTCGCCAAGGTGCTGGAGCGCGTGCGGCCCCTGGACTCCGACGGGCTGGTGCGGCGCCTCGGCGACTGCGTGCTGCTGGACTGCCGCGCCTTCCTGGCGTACAACGCGTCGCACATCCGCGGCGCCGTCAACGTCAACTGCACCGACAGGCTGAACCGGCGGCGCCTGCAGCAGGGCCGCGCCTCCCTGGCCGAGCTGGCGGGCTCCAAGTGGCCGTGCTCGTCGCGGTCCCCGCGGCAGGTGGTGGTGTACGACGACTCGAGCGCGCTGCTCGACCGCCTGCCGCCGCAGCACCCTCTGCTCCTCGTGCTCGCCGCCCTCGTCAAGGACGACAGGGACCCCGCCTTCCTCGTCGGTGAGTACTAGCCTGCCCAGTGAGAAGCCTGTGTGCGAGGAAGCTGCCTCTGAACTGAGCGCGGTCCTGGGTTCGAACCCTCGCAGCTCGAGGATATTTTCGAACCGGGCGGGTCGCAGAAAAAGAGGTTAGGGGTCGCTGACCGCGCTGTGTTATTAAACGGCCACCGACAACATTCTCATCCCCGAGCGGCGCTGAGCCAGCAGAGATCCCGAACAGCGGTCGCGTCGCTCTGTCTCTCTCGCGCTCGCGGGCTGTTTCGAAGGGGGTGCGAAGGAGACAGCGACACTCGTCGTCATTATCGGCGCGAATCGTATGAGAAATGGCGGCGGCGGCCCGGCGGGGGACGTCCCCGATGACAGGTGAGCGGCGCGCGACGACGGCGTGGTTTCGGACTCGTGTCGGACCGCCGGCCGCGCAGATGCAGCGTTCAAGGTTTGTTTTGGGCCGTGATGAACGGGTGCAAGTGCGCCGCCGCCGGCACGGAGTGGCACGGAGAGGCGGACCCAGTTGGGCGGCAAGGGCGTCACTTTTAAAAATAGTCGGCGCGTCTTCCGTCCGTCGGCCGTCGGCCGGCCGGCCGTCGTTCGGGTGCTGTGCGGCGAGGCGAGGCGGGGCGCGGCGAGGCGCGGGTGTTGCCATTGCGCTCGGTGCAGCGACGACGCGACGACGGAACGGGTCCGAAGAGCCGTCTTTGTTGCGCTGTCTGGGCTGTCTCTGTCGCACTCGCGGGGCGCTCCGTTGGGGAGCGAGCGAGACGGGCGACGGAACGTCATCTCGGAATCGCTCGGCAGCCCGTGGCGCGGCCCTGCGGCCCAAAGGTCACGCGCTCGCCGCTTCCGTTGTTGCGCCCCAAAAGGGCGAAAGGGTAAGGGGTGGCGCTGCTTGGAAGCGAAGGGTTCGTCACACCTCCCTCTGGTATTTAAGGGTGTCCAGCCCACAGCAAAGGTTCTGTTGAAGTGAACCGTCCCCATGGGCGTCCCCGCGTCGCCCCGCGTGACGTCAGGCGCCGAAGTGGCCGAAGCGCACGCAGCTTCTGGCCGGCGTTCAAATGACGCTATTATGCGCGTACAAGGGGGCGAGAAATCGACGCGGTTCTTCTGCTCTCTTCCGCCCCCCCCCCCTCTTCGGCTGAAGCCGCGCCAGATTTTCATCATATCGGGGGGAATTTACTGCGGCCGTGGCTTCGCGCGACGAGGGTCGGGTTGGCGGCCACGACGGCGGGTCGGGTTGGCGGCCACGACGGTGGCCACGACGGCGACCCCCAGCTCCGCCGTCGCCGGCGTGCGCGTGGCGCCTCCCGCGGGCTTTAATTTAGTTCGGTGCTCGTCGCCGCGGACGCCGCCGTTGTTCATCATCAACACCATGGTGGCCGTGAGCGCGCTGGCTGGCGCGGCGTCGTCGTCGACGCCCACTTCCCCGCGGCACGCCCGCGGCACGCCCTCGCCGTCGTCGTGAGAGACGAGTGGTTTTTCTCTGCGGTCGCGCGCCACTTTTTCGCGAGTGTGCTCGCTGCAAGCACGCGCGCGTCCGACTTATTTTCGCGGCGGTTCCATTTCCGCGGACGTGCGGGGGCGTCGAGCGCGCCAGCCCTCCAGTCGGTCTCCTTGGTCCCTGGAATGGCATTCTTACTGTGTGACAGCAGCAGCCCCACTGTGGGTGACACGTCACAGTGTAGTGGACGATGCCCCGACGCGCCGCCCCGCGCCTCGCGTCTCGCCCTGACGTCGATGGCGTCTGTGCCTTGTTGCGGCGCTGGACGGAGCCCCGACCCGCGCCCCAGCTCTTTCATAAAATATCGGATTTCGGGGGCGGCGTGGGGCGTGGGTCACGCAGCGACGGGCCCGGGGGGGCCGTGAGTCGAGCGGCAGTGGCGTAGCAGCGACGCGACGCACGGCCACGGCGCCGCACTGCGCCCCGGTGGGTCGTGCGCCGTGACCTGAGATGCGCAGGCCGTGCTTTCGCGCCTCTCCGGAAAGGGTTGGCACCTGCACCGCCTGCTACACTGTGCGCCACGCGCTCGCACACGCCGCGCTTGAAGAGCGACGTGCACGGGCGAAAGTCACATCGACTTGGAACAAGATAAAGGAAGCGTATGTGCCGAGCACATGAAGTGAAGTACGCTGTGAAATGGAAGGCGAGCGGAAAATCGAGTCGTTAAAAAGTGTGACGAAAATATTTGGCTGGCGCTCCACTGCGAAGTACCGGCTGCTGGCACCGCGTGGCTGTGCGGGCGGCGCGCCCAGGAGGCAGGCAACCCATCCGGCTCGCTGCTGGCGGTTCGAGGCGCCTGGCTCGTAGGCAGCCCAACGCACGCGACCCACGTCCGTCCGTCCGCCCGCCGTCTGTCCGTTCGTCTGTCCTTGTCTGCCCGGTTGGTGAATCACACATCGCGGCCTGTCTCTCCTCCTCCTCCTTCTTCTTCTCCTTCTCCGTCGTTCCAATTTTTCTTCTGCGCATCACAACGCCGGCGCGCTGTGTGTTTTAGCAGTGCAGCAGCGCACTTCCTCGAGCCGCGCGTGCGAGTGAGCGAGAGGGAGACGGAGACAGTGAGTGAGCGAGAAGCAAGTGGCAGATATTGGGGAAATTTTCCGCGCACCGCCGGCTCGATAAACGCAAAGTGACTTTGATAGGCGCACTCAGAGGGGTGCGCACGCGTCTCGTCGTTGTCTGCTTGTTTGCGACCGAAACAACGAGATCAGTCTGGCCGCCGGCGCCGGGACTCGAACCCGCGAGGCTGACCGCGTGACCACGTGACCTGGTGACGTCATCGAGCCGAAAGGAACCGCGTTGCGCCGGATTTCTCATCCGAAGGGCCTCTGGGTCCGATGGCGCCGATAGGACGCCTTTCGCCGAAATAGACGATGTGTGGCGAGCGCGCTCCCTGTCGCACTCGCGGGGCGCACCGTGAGAGTGCGAGAGAGACAGAGTCGCGACCAAACGACTCTCCGAAGCGTTCTATCCGGCGAATCTAACCGCGCATCTAGCCGGCAATCTATCCGCCTAATCCGGTTAGCCGCTCCACGCGTCACAAATTCACGGGGAGGAGGCGGATGCTGCCGTGGCGCCGTGACTCGCTGCAGCGCCGCGGTTTTTGACGCGGAGGGAATTCCCCCACGGTTTGGTCAACAACTACGTTGCTGCGTTTGCGCGGTGTTTTGTTTTCCAGCGAGGTTTTCCAGCGAGGCGCTGTGATTGTTTTATTGGCCTGGTCTGGACGACGCGCGGTGATATCACTGCCTTCTCCAGGATCAGCGCGGCTGCCCTGGACTCCCTGGACGGCACGGCACGCCGGCTGTGTCGGTGTGTCACTGGAAGGCGCGGCGAAGGCTTTCAGCGTCGGCATGGCCAAGGCACTGTAAACAGGCAATGGGCGATGGTGGTCGCGGTTCGCTCTGCGTTCACAGTGCGGGCACGGGGGAGAGGCTATCCTAGTCGGTGCCGTCCAAGTCTCAGCGATACGGAGTGGATCGACTCACGGACACCTGCGACTTGATGGAAGTCGCCTCCTCCGAGTCCGACTGAGTCACCCAGTCCACCCAGTCCACCCAGTGCAGCAGGGATCGCTTGATTGGCCACACGGCACGCACGTGCGCACTCACACCCGCACACACACACAGACGCACGAATCGCGACAATTGGAATTGAGATTAGATACCCCGTCATGTACCCTCATGCTGGGATTTTTCCTCGAGTGTCGAAAACGCGAAGACTGATGTGACCGGCTGTGCCCGTTTCGAATCTTAGGGTGTATTATCGCGGTGCGAGCGATTAGCCGCGTCGCTTCGTCGGAGGATCCTTATAAGGACACAGAGACAACAGCACAGGGCCCGTCCCACCCCGCAGTCCCGCAGTGGGCCGAGACGGCCAAAATTCTAGACGCGTTTTGAGCTCCAGCGTCACTAAATGGGACTCGAACCGAACGTGTGACCCCACCAATGGATTGCTCTCCGAACGAGGAATCCATTGGTGGGATCACACGCTCGGTTTGAGTCATAGTTAGTGACTCCGGAGCTCAAAACGCGTCTAGAGTTTTGGCCGCCTCCACAATGTCCATCCTTTTGCCCACTACCCCGTTTCTCTACTAGTGACCCACCTGACCAATCCTCTTCCCTTAAAACAACAACAAAAACAAAACGCGTAATATGCGGACGTCCCCGCGCGTCCATCGTTGGTGGGCTCACTGTGAGTCACTCAGTGCATCTAATTGGTGTAAGCGGGGCGAGGCGGGGTGAAGCAGTGCGAGGGGTAATTGAAAGGAATGCCTGTAAAGCTGCGGGTTATGACCCCTGGGCCTATCACCCGGCGTCCGGTCCCCGAGGGGGTGGCTATACACACACACACACACACACACACAGCAGAGGGTGAAACACGAATGGGACGAGACTATTTCGGTCCCTTTTAATGGAGTCTGTCTGGTTGGGTGAGAGTGCGTCGCGGTACTTCGGGTTATGCAAAGACGGCCGCCTGCTGTGTGTGTGTGTGTGTGTGTGTGTGTGTGTGTGTGTGTGTGTGTGTGTGCGTGTGTGTCTGTGTGGCCCGAGGACCGAATGGGCGCGAGCGAGGGATGAACTGTAAACGGTGGAAATGGCCGGCTCGGTATAACGCGGAGATATGGCCCTCTCTCCCCTTCTCTTGTTCGTCCCTCTCGCTCACTCTCGCCCCTTGTGCCTCTCCCCCTCTCTCTCGCTCTCCCCCGCGGGAGGTTATGAATCGCGCCGCCGAGAGGGAGAGTTCAATAATGTTTACGGGCTCTATTATTGCGCACTCCGGAGGTTATTCGCTTTTTCCGAGTCAATCATGTGGTGGCCGGGCCGCGGGCCCCTCCCAGTGTAGTGGAGTTTGCGACTGCGGACGTCAGCCCCGACCAGTTTGCTTGTTTGCGGGCCGCGAGGCCGCCAGGGAAGTCCAGGCAGGCCGACCGCGTCGCCCGCCACTTTTCCCCTGCAGGACCTGTCGTGCCGTGCCGTGCCGTGCCGTGCCGTGCCAGAGGGGCCGAA